CCCCCCCTCACAAACACCTGGTTCACGACGACGAAGGCAGCACCGTGTCGATCGCCCAGCCGTTTCATCTGTTGTGACAGTCGCCCGAGCAGCCTCGAGCGCTCTCCGATGTCCCTGTCAATTCGCCGTTCGTCGTCGTCAGAACAGGTTGGGTTTCCATTCGATTTGTTTTTTCCGGGAGCGGCGGTGACGCAAACAGGGAACGAATGGGAACGGCGGGTGGGTAGACTGAGATGACGTAGTTTCATATCAACATATCCGAGGAGATCGTGGGGTTTTAAACGGTGTCCTCGGGGCTAAGCGTGTGAAAGTGGATTGGCACCTTTCATATGTACAGCCCTGGCTAACGCGCGGCACAAGCGCGGTATGACTAGACAGAGCCAATGTATGACTTGTCGCACCCAAGAATTCATACACTCCGCACTCCGCCGTTTGCTAGGTGAGATGGCACGCGTCAGAAACAAAAAAGCATGCACGGAGGAGCTACGCCATGATGGTGTGTGGTCCGAGATCTGGGCCTTTCAGTACAGACGCAAGGCTGTATGTAGGGTGGGAGGAACAAAGAGCGGCATAGAAAAAATTTCTTGGTTGATGGAGAACAAGGACCAACACGTTAAAAATACGGCAATATGTATTATACACACCATGACGCACAACACGCATCGAGAGACGACCCCAGAAAAAAAAAAAAACGTACCCGCGCCCGCAACCCAAGTCGCTGCGAAAAAGTGCGGCGATGGAGTCTATCACGACGAGCTTGACGTTCTGCGACCGCATGATGTGCGGAAGGTGCTCCATCTGGTGAGATGAAAAGAGACCAGTTGGAAGGGGGAACGGGGGTTCACATGTATCGGTGAGAAGCTGTACGGGGTGTCTTGGTGCATCCTGTTTTTGAGTAGATGCGGGGTACAGCAGTAGAGGATCGGCACGGGAGCTGATGTTACGCGAAAGCGTGTCCATCCATCGCAGGCAAGCAGGTAAGTATGCGATTGCCATTTAAAGGTTGGTGGGGAGGGAGAGGGCAGGGGTCGAGAGAGGTGGGGGGGG